TCCATTTATAAAAATAATAGATCAAAATAGTAAAGAAACTTTTGAGAAAATAAGAAAAACGTCACTACAGAATCGTACCACCTTCGAATCAGCATCAAAACTTTTTTACCCCTTAGTCATTTGACTTATTGCTTGATGTGGGTCTTGTTTACCACAAGACATAATTAAATGCATGCATCAATTCAGTCATTTCTAACATACCAACTTCCCTTTTGGCAAGTGATTTCATTTCCTATCTTTTTATGAAAGAAATCCTAGTAACATGTAATATATGATTATTGTCATGGCAAAGATACCTTTTGTTATGAACAGTGGGGTAAATAATGCCTATATGTTTTGGGAATAAATCTAATTAATAAATTCAGTCTATACATAATTTTGTTTTACTTTTTTTTGAGACAGGATCTCTGTCATCCAGCCTGGAGTACAGTGGTGTATAATGACTCCCTGCAGCCTCGACCTCCCAGTCTCCAGTGATCTTCCCACCTCAGCATCCTGAGTAGCTGGGACTACAGGCTCGCACCCCTATGCCTGGCTAATTTTTGTATTTTTTTTTTTGTAGAGACAGAGTTTTGTCATGTTGCTCAGGCGGGTCTTGAAATCCTGGACTGAAGTGCTCCACCTGACTTGGCCTCCCAAAGTGCTGGGATTACAGGCGTAAGCCACCACAGCCAGCCTTTTTTTTTTTTTTTTTTTTAATAAATATAACAAAGAAAAGAAATGACTACAAGTCAATATTTACATTTGATTTTTTTTTTATGTCGAAGATTGGCTGATCTTAGATTTTCCAAGTCCTTAGAAAATGCCTGATAACACAACTGGTGTCTTCCCCCTAGCCTAAACTCCACTGACTTTGATAGTATTAGAAATGGCATTCATATTAATGGTTATAGTCCCATTTTTAACATGCTAATGTGAATTAAATTATTAGGCATTTGAAAAGCAAGCTTCTATAATGGAAGAAAATAAAACATCTGGACATAAGCTTTAAGAGATCTGTTGTGTTAATACAAATTTACTTTTTGAGTGGTAAGCTTTTAAAAAGAAATGTGGTGCTCTAACTCCAGAAAAATATAAGGGTGACTTAATTGACAATCTAGAGGAAAAAAATACAGACATTTATTGAGTGCCTCCAATGTTCCAGGTGCCATTCTGGGCGTTTTTAGTATGTGTCCTCATTTAATTCTCACAGTGATCCTTTTGAACTGTGTTCTTCTCATTTTGCAGACAAGGTAATTGAGACACAATCAGATTGAAGAACTGCCTAAGATTGTTTGGCTAATAATAATAAGTGGAAGGGTAAGACTTGAAGGCAGGTTTGGCTTATTCCAACATTCATACATACTCTTAAATTTAAGTTATTATGACTTGATGTTGCTCAAATCCAATGTGTTCAGCTGTTTGCTACTCTAATTGCCAAGATTTTTCTTTAAAAGGTAGGACACTTTAAGCAACATAAACCAAATGTGGTCAGTATTGTTACAAACTGTTAACTGGACGCATTTTAATTTGGAGATGGAACTGAAATGGTCTCTAGGTACTAGAGAAGATCAAGTTATCACATAAACAAAGTACAGAGCTAAGAACATGTTTTAAATCTTCCCACTAACTCTGACTTTTATTGACTAAAATTTTAGTAGACAAATATGTTTATGTTTATGACTTTTAGCATTAACAACATCATAAATCAAACTCACTGATATATGTTGAGCCTTCTGTCTATGATCCCTTTAACCTAGAGGATTTCTGAGCTGGGACCAATTTCTTCAAAGCAGGGAAAAAATCCAGGTGAGAGCTGAGATTGCTCCTGACTGAGAAAGGCAGCTCTGAAAGAGTCTCAGATTTTAGCAGCAGCAGTTGAACCACGGGCATAGAATCAGCTTGCCCAAGATCTCTTCAATAATAACCACGGCACAAGATTCAAACCCAAGTTCACTTCACTTCAAAGCTCCTGTCTTCCCCACCACATTCTGCTTCTTTATGTGCATACAACTTTTTTCAGGGTTACAAAAAAAGCCCTAATTCTAAAATTCCTATGGCTTGGGTGGGAGGGGACTTAGATGACTTAGCATAGCCAAGAGACACCCAGTTTCATGGAGTTTAGTGGAAGAAGAGTTATATATCAGTGTGGAAAAAGTACATGCCATCTTTGTCTTTGTTTTCTTGAGCTCTTCCCTTTCTTGAGTGATAGACTTGGTAAATGTCTAATGAGGATCCCTGGGTATTATTTTCTGCTTGTCAAATAATTTTTACAGCTGAGAAACTGATTGGAACGTAAACAAACAGTTAAGTCTCATGAACTCCCTCTGCACTTATTCCTAAAGGGTGACAAAACGTTTGTATTTATGTGTAGCTTGGCACTTTAGTTAAACTGTGTTCCTCACTTTGCTCTATTTTAAAGCAGAATATCTTTAAAGAGGATAATTAGTCCTGCTTTTTTTTTTCTACCTTAGCCCATTTAGTCCTTCTACTCATTATGCAAGGACTCAAATGACTATGTCTACAAAAGTGAGACAAGGTAGGATCAATGCTCCTGCAGTTACCTCCTCTTTGTCCATCTCCACTTCTGATGGAGAGGGTCGCAGAACATAATGCACTGAAGATTACATTGCGAGAGATAGACAACATTTGCAAAAGAGGTCTTTTTGCCTTGGAAAGGCTCCATTCTTTAAAAAAATGTGAACATCAAGGTTAAGTAGAACTCATTGGCCCGGCCTTTAAGGATGACATCAGGATAAAGTTGGGCTCATGAGAAGAGAATTGGAGGGAGATAGAGTGACATGAAAATAAGGAGGAAAACAAAGTGCCTGTGAAAGTGGGGCTCACCACAAATACAAAGGTAACCCTTTGGGAAAAGTAAAGAAATATTTGCACATCCTCAGAACTCTGAATGTCGTAGTGATGCTGTATGATTGGGTCTTAATGATAGTGAACTGAATCAGTCACACCAGGTTGGGTCCATAGGAGAATGTGTCTTTGCTAAACATGCCAATATCACTGAAGCAAAGAAACTTGGAACTTTCTTTAAGATATGGGACCTTTTTTTGACATATCTGGCCCAAGGTTTTTCTTTTGTCACTCCATGCACTGTGTTCCATATGCTAAATAATTTGAGGAACCCAAATGGACCACGTTCTCCTACATTTCATTGTCCCGTACCTCCTGTCCTGTACTAGCAAAGCAGTCCCATTGGTCTTTCTTCTTCTCATTACCAATATAGTTAACACTTTTGAAGTTGCTTCTTCAGAAAAGCTTTATCCATCAAAACTGCCTCAAAGGTCATGTTTGTTTGATTTCAGAAGTTCCTGTATTATAACACTGTATTATAACCTGTATTATAACACTCATTGCTGTATTTTACTTGCTTGTGTAACTAATTGTCCATATTCTGTACTAGACAACAAAATCCTGTAAGTCAGATACTATATCTATTTACATAGCACTCACATCTCCTTCAGTAAGTGACATTAGCGATAAACAATACCTATTAAATGAATAATCAAGCTTCTGAAATACCAGAGTTAAAAACAGTAGGAGCTACATTATATAGACTAAACATTTACTTTGTTATAGAATTTAATGTAACCCAGGCACTACATTATCCTTAAGCCTTAGATTGGTTGAAGAAAGATAACAAAAGAAACACGATTGTGCAGAAACAGACAAATCTTTTTGGAAAGCATTTGAAAATGCATTCCCCTTCTACAGTGTGTTCGCAGTGGGGGCAAATTCACTGCTCTGTCGTACTTTCTGAAAATGAAGAACTGTTACACTAAGCTGGATTATTTGTAAATTGTGTACTTGCTCAGGTGAGAACAGACCTTTACTGTCATAAGGACTGTTCCTTGGTGCTCTCTATCTATGGAATCCGAAATCTTTCTTGAAAGGACTTTTCTTCAGGACGCTAAGGCATAAAGCCACCTTTTTATGACTCATTGAAATTTTTAACTCCATCCCTCTTGCTAGTGATCATGGGTCCTCAGAGGTTAGTCTTGGTGTCCTTGGATAAAGAGCATGAAGCAAGGGTGGCTGAACCAGAGTTTGAACCCAGATTCTCTTTCCACTAAGCATGCACCTTTCCATCAGATAACACCTCCCTCTTACCCCAGATAAGCAGCTCCAGTGCACCACTTCCTGGAGCATAAACATACCTTAACTTTACCACTTGGGTGTCCTTGCATAGTGTTCCTACCCGGAATGTGCTGTTCCCTTTCATCTTCCTCTGTTGAATCCCTCCCATTCCCTCAATGCCTGGCTCCAAATGCCTTTGGAAGATTCTGCTCTTATGCTCCCACTGGAATGAATATTTTAGTACCACTTGTCTATTCTGCAATGTAGTCGGTCCTTACATTGTTCTCTTCTTCTGATAGACCAAACTCTTTAAGAACAAGTACTTAGTCTTATCTGTTTCTAGATTCCTCACATTACGCAGAAAGTTATTTCATAAATGTTCATGGAGCTGATTTCTTTGTGAAGCAGGTGTGTCCTTTCATTCTGTTAATATACATTAGAAAACTAAATCTGTTGAAAAGTTGTGGTATGCCCCCTAAGAGCAGTAACAGTTCCTAGAAACTTTCTAAAATGCTTCAAAAATGATTTATTAAAAATTATCTCCCCAATAAAATGATTGACTAGCTTAATTATACCATTAAAAGAGAATCAACAGTGACCATGTTCTAACAACTGCCACTCTAGTACTATGTCCGTCATGTAGTACTATGATAAAGTGATCTAGAAATAAAAAAGGATACAATTGATAACAATTAATGAAATTGTGGAGTTTAAGTATTTAAAAACATGCACATTAAATTGTTTTAAAGATCAAAGAAAACTTTCATCATACTGAATATTAAGGAATAAATAGGAAGTGTGATGACTCAGGTTTGCCCTGAAGGGGACGGGCCATCAGTTGCAAATTGGGGAATTTCCTCTGACATAATGAAAAGATGAGGGTGCATAAGTTCTCTAGTGCTGTGATGATATAAAAAGCCACTGGAACACTTCATGAGGCACAAACCTTCAGAGACAGCAGAGGACACAAGCTACTAGGACAAGAGCAGCAAGAAACCACCGGAAGGAACCATCTCACTGTGTGTAAACATGACTTCCAAGCTGGTTCTGGCTCTCTTGGCAGCCTTCCTGCTTTCTGCAGCTCTGTGTGAAGGTAAGAACATCTTTCTGACCTACAGAGTTTTACTGTGTCTAAATGTGATCCTCAGATAGCAAAGCTATTCTTAATGCTTTGATAAAAAACATCCTTTTTATTCAAAAACAGAAGATAATCTTAGCAGTCAATTAATGTTAGATTGAAGATTTGTAAAGATTATGTCTGTACAACACTTAGGAAAGTATAAAGTTTGATCAATGTAGATATTTTGCTTTTATAATTTATACCATGTAGCATGCATATATTTAAAATAAATCCGTAATTTATGATGTATCCTATCAAGAGCCACAGTTAAGTACATTATCTATTAATATTGCACAAGGTAACTCAGACAATTCTACTCCATGTAGTATTTTATTGACAAGCTTTGGACTTGTCGTTAATTCCTGTTCAGTTTAAAGACACCCTGATTATAGGCCAGGTCTGTACAACTTATTTATATATTTCTATTAATTCTTTCTGAAGGCAATTTCTATGTTGAAGAATCTTAGTTTGCCTACTATAACACTGTGCTACCACAGTAGATTATGTGATATTGACTGGATAAAAATACCGTGAGGATGTTGATATTGTACAAAGAGAACTTTAACTCTTTACATAGAAAGTCATTCAGTGTTGTCAGTTATGACTTTTTTAAAACAAAGAACAAAATTAAGGTCAAGGGCTAGGAGAATATCTGGCTTTTAATGTCAGGAATGAGTTTACTAGAAATATGAGGCTTACCACACTCTCCAAATTGTCGTATTAGAATTAAAGAGGAAATAGCTGGCAGAGCTGCACCTGTTGATAAAATCAATCCTTAACCACTTTTTACCCCAACAGGTGAACTTATGCCAAGGAGTGGTAAAGAACTGAGATGTCAGTGCATAAAGACATACTCCACACGTTTCTCCCCCAAATTTATCAAAGAACTGAGAGCGATTGATAGTGGACCACACTGCGCCAATACAGAAATCATGTAAGTACCTTAAAAAGTGATTAGATATTTTGTTTTAGCAAACCTATAATTAAGGAAGGTGGAAATATTTAGGAAAGTTTTAGGTATTAGGATTACAGTAGTGAACAAAACAAAACAAGATAAAAGTATTTGTCTACATGACATTTAAATATGGTACCTTCCATATCTACTGTAAATATTATTTTGGACTTAAGACTTTATACCTGACTTAAGAAATCATGATTTGAATGGGAAAACTAAATATTAATCTTAATCATTTCTCTCTTATTTCAGTGTAAGGCTTGTTGACGGAAGAAAGATTTGTCTGGACCCCAAGGAAGAGTGGGTGCAGAAACTTGTGCAGATATTTTTGAAGAGGTATGTTATATATTTTTAAATTTAAATTCTTCATTTATCCTGAGACATATAATCAAAGTCAGCCTACAAACTTCTTTCTGCTGCTAAAAATCTTTGTTAGGTATCTGCCTTTTTGGTTAAAAGAATTGCATCAGTAGTCTGCTGTAGTCATGACCGGAAAGACCATACATAATTTGCCCAGGAAATTCTGCGTTTATACTTGTGACCTATATTCTTAGTAAAGTTCCTTGTCACTCTCAGCAGTGTCCTGTTTTAGATGATAACTTCTCTACTCTCTCTATTTATAGTTGAGAATACAGAGCATTTCTAACACATGGACGTCAAAGACTACGTTGAGTTTTCATGGATACTACTTTCCTTCTTATTAAACATACTTCATCTTTAAATTTTTTTATTTAATTTTATTTTAGGGTTGAGAATCAAACGCCATAAAAAACAATTCATTCTTCATGGTATCCAAGAATTCCTCAGTTAAGATGTCAGTGAAACTTCAAGCGAATCTACTTCAACACTTCATGTACTGTGTGAGCCTGCTGTAGGATTGCCAGATAAAATACAAGATGCCTGGTTAAATTTGAATTTCAGTAAAACAATGAATAGTTTATCATTGTACCATGGAATATCCAGAACATACTTATATGTAAAATATTATATGTTTGAATCTACAGCAAACAACAAATACTTTTTAGATATAAGGGTTTTCCTAGACATTGTATAGAATATACAATCAAGAAAATTGAGGTCAAGAGCTAAGAGAATATCTGAACTTTAATTTCAGAAATTGAATGGATTTGCTAGAATGTGATGTTTCAAGCATCATGTGAAAATGATGGGACAATTAATTTTGCTATAATGTCAAATTTAGCTGGAAATCCTAAATATTTTTTTCTGTTAAATCTGGCAACCCTAGTCTGATAGCCAGGATCCACAAGTCCTTGTTCCATTGTGCCTTGGTTTCTCCTTTATTCTAAGTGGAAAAAGTGTTAGCCACTATCTTACCTCACAGGGATGTTGTGAGGACGTGTGGAAGCACTTTAAAGTTTTTCATGATAATATAAATTATTTTCAAGTGTAACTTATTTACCTATTTATTATTTATGTATTTATTTAAGCATCAAATATTTGTGCAAGAATTTGGAAAAATAGAAAATGAAGAATCATTGAATAGTTATAATGATGTTATAGTACATTAATTTTATTTTAGATACTAAATGATGTTCTATTAGGGAACTTTTGATCAGGGTTTTCAGATTAAACAAACGAATGAACAATTGGATACCCAGTTAAATTTTCATTTCAGATAAACAACAAATAATTTTTCAGTATAGGTATGTTATTGTTTATCTGAAACTGTAATTGAACTAACAATCCTAGTTTGATGATACTTCTGGTCCAGCTGTGTTATGCAGTGCTTTGCTGAATTATGGAATAATGAGTTAGAACTGTATTAAAACAGCCAAAACTCCACAGTCAATATTTGTAATTTCATGCTTGTTGAAACTTATTTATTATGTGCAAATAGATTCTTATATTATTTAAATGATTGTATTTTTAATACCAGCTTTATATTTTTAACTTTAAGGTGCTTTTATCTGTTCCCCCAATTTTTTCCTACTGTTTCTGACTGTATGGAAATATAAATGTAAAAATAAAGTGTTTATAACGTACTTTGTTGTCAAAGTAATCGAGTGTTTGTCTTTTTTTTTTTTTTCTTTTAGCTTATTGGGAATCTCTTTGTTTATATTTAAAATTACTCTTTGATTTAGAAAACTTAAATGTTTCTCCTTAGTATTTTGTTTACTGTGTGGAAAATTACAAACTTTTATTTTTAGGAAAATGGAACTCCTTTCCAGAAATGTATTATAAACAGTAGTGTCCTCCATAGAATGTTAGAAATGTTTTCAACTCCCCACTGTGTACTACTTTGCTAATAAGTCTGTCTTCAGATTTCGATTAACCAGTTTGCATGGCTATACACTTTAGCATAGCTGGATCTATAAGAGGACAGAGAGCATATATTCTAAGTCATTTATGAGTAACTTAGCAGTGAAACTGACACCGGTGAGGCAAAGAAGTTTAAAACGTGGTTAAAGACTAAACATACTATAAGGACATGTGCACACGAATGTTCATTGCAGCACTGTTTACAATAGCAAAGACCTGGAACCAACCCAAATGCCCAACAATGATAGAATGGATAGGGAAAATGTGGTACATATACACCATGGAATATTACGCAGCCATCAAAAACGATGAGTTCACGTCCTTTGTAGGGACATGGATGAACCTGGAAACCATTATTCTCAGCAAACTGACACAAGAGCAGAAAGTCAAACACCGCATGTTCTCTCTCATAGGCGGGTGTTGAACAATGAGAACACATGGACACAGGGAGGGGAGCACTACACACTGGGGTCCATTGGGGGGAAATGGGGGAGGGATGGGGGCGTGGGGAGGTGGGAAGAGATAGCACGGGGAGAAATGACAGATACAGGTGAGGAGACGGAATGCAGAAAACCACACTGCCATATGTGTACCTACGCAACAATCTTACATGTTCTTCACATGTACCCCAAAACCTAAAATGCAATAAAAAAAACATATTTGCAAACAAATCAAACAATACCCTGAGAAGTAAAAACATAATTAACTAAAACATTCAGTGGATAAATTTGATAACAAATTAGACACAGTTGAAAATAAAATTAGAAAACTAGAAAATAGAACCAAGGAACTTTATCTGGAATTATTTTAAGAGAGATAAAGAGTAGTAATTTGGAAAAAGAAGACAAAAGGCATGGAGGATACCAGTGTAAGTTCTTATAGATGTCTAATTGGATCGTCACAAACAGAAGAGAAAGGAAGGGGCCAGAGACAACATTTGAAATGACAATGGCCAAAATCTTTCTGAAAATGATGAAAAATAACAATCCACATTTCAAAAAATCCAATTTACTGACATTTACCTTTACATTCCTACTCAAGAAACAAGGATTTTAAAACTTTCACATTTATCCGCCTTCTAGCTCATATGCTATTGTTGCTGGGTATTTTAAGTTCGCTTCTTTTTAAGAGCTTCACAAGTCTGCTTGTATGTAGGAATATAGATTTACCTGCATATTTACCAATTCATTTGTTTTCTATTCTTTCTTGTATTATGCCTCAGGCCTTTTATATCAGTTTCTTTCTGCCACAAAGACATCCTTAGATTTAGTTCAGTGACGGTCTGCTCATGACAAATTTTCTCATTGGTTGTCCAAAGAAAGCTCAATTCCAAGTTTGTTCTTGAGAGATATTTTTGCTGGCCTATGTTCAATTTATCAGAATATTTGTCAATTGCAATCTGTGCACTTAATAAAAAAATCTCAAAATATATAATGTATACATTCCTATAACTAGAAGGAAGGAGCAACATATAAACACACCATCTCAATAGGAGACTTACAATAAACTCTCAGTAATTGATTGCCCAACAGGCAGAAAGCAACATGGGCTTAGTAAATTTTAACCATGCATTATCAAGCATGACCTAAGAGATACGTATAATACATAGTGCATAACAACTTTAGGATACATATTATTGTGTAACTCCCCATTGACAGGACTGGCACCATAACTTGAAGAGTATAAAGCAAAATAAAAATGTAGGAACTCATGTTCAAAAATTGTTAAAAATTCAGTAGTAATAGTTGTGATAGCAAAGCAATAATCAACGCATGGAACCCTTTTTAACATGAGCCTTGTACAAGTATGCAGGTCACACACCCATGAAGCAGACTTTCTCCATAGAATATTTATGAAATTTAATCACATTCTGAGGCATAAAACAAGTCTCAGCAAATTTCAAAGAATTGAAGTTAGATAGGCCACATCATCCAAATATTTTCAATTAATTTAGAATTTAACCACAAAAATATAAGTAGTAAAAAGCCCATGTGTTATGGAAAACAATAAACACCTCTAAATAAATTGTCTAAAGAAAATCTGAATGAAAATTCAAAACTTTTTAGAATGCAATTATATGAATATTGCTTATCAAAACATGTATGCAGTAGATAGAGTTCATAACATTCCAAGATATGTTCATGCTCTAATCCCTGAAACCTTTGAATATGTTACCTTACACAGCCAGAGACTTTGCTGGTGTGATATGTTAAAGATTTCAAGATTGGGGATTATCCAGTGGTATCTGTGTGGGCCTGATGTAATTGATGTAATCATAAGGTTCTTTATAAGAGGGAGTCGGGATGGTCAGATGCAGAGAAGAGACACGAGAGAAAAGAAATATTACAAGGAAAAGCCCAGGAGCCAAAGAATACAGGTGTCTTCAGAAGCTGGAAAGGCAAGGAAATGGATTCTCTCCTAGAGGCTCCAGAAAGAACACAGCATATCTATACTTTGAATTGAGAACTTCTGACCTTCAGAATGCTAAGATTTATAATACATTGTTGGTGTTTTATGCCACAAAGTTTATGGTAACTCTCTTTAGCAGCAATAGAAAACATAAAAAGTTTCATGAAATTAATTTAATATGGCTAGTATTTTATACTTATTTATAAAAGAAAAAAAGAATAAGGGTAGTAGAATAATGAAGTTAGAAAAGTAAGAAATGATCAATCATTAATAAATCAACAGGATTTACACAAGTTGGTTGTTTTTAAAAGATTAATAAAATTGATAAAATTAAATTGAAAATAAAAGAAACTAAGATTAAACTAAATTTGAAAAAAGATTAATGAACATATTTTATAATAGCATATTTCTAAATTTAACTCAAGAATTGAAAAAATCGATACAAGTTATTAACAATCAAGGGCATATCAATCAATATTTTAAAATATTTCTACTAAAAAAATAAGCCACACAATTTTATCACAATTTATTTACAAAAACACATTATAAAATTTTTTAAGGAACACAGTATTAACAAGATAAAAACGTTTAAAAATTTTAATGCATCGCAACAAAGAAATGTAAAGCAATTTAAATAACTGAAGATTGATCAATGAAATTCACTATATTAAGATAGTAAAGCAAAAAAATCTTGCTCATTTCGGTGAGTTAAGAAACAACCTGAGACATGGCTTAATAGCCAATCATGTTAAAGGAAAAAAACCTCTAGGAATGAGAATCACTTGAATCCAGAAGGTGAAGGTTGCAGTGAGGCAAGATTGCAACAAAAGCAGTCTCAAAAAAAAAAAAAAAAAAAAAAAAAAAAAGTTACAACAAAGCAGCAAAAATCATGACATACTCAATATTTAAGGGTTAATTTTAAAATGATAATATTTACAATTGAAACAAAACAGGTTTCCATTATCACCACTTCCATCCATTTCTTTTTCGAAAGTTCTGGGCAATGCAGGGAGATAGAAACAAATATGTTAAAAAGTAACAACTGGGAAAGAAAAAATGAAAGAAAAATAATTTGTAGGTTATATGATTGTAAAAGTAGATCTCAAAAGAATATATAAAGACAATTGATTAACTTTGAAAAATTTTACTGGGTATGAAAATAATTTATAAAAACCAATTGCTTCTCTGTACACCATGAACAATTAGAAAAGGCAGCTTAAAGCATATGATGTAAATTAGCATCGTTACTTAAATCAACAGAAAATAAATCTAACAAAAAGTTTGTGAAGAAAATTATGATACTTTATTAAACCCCTCAAGATTGGAGATTATCCTACAGAAACCTTGGAGGACAACCTAGGCAATACCAACCCGGACATAGAAATGGGCAAAGATTTCATGACAAAGATACCAAAAGCAGTATCAACAAAAGCAAAAATTGACAAATGGGATATAAATAAACCTTAGAGCTTCTGAGCAGCAGGAGAAACTATCAACAGAGTAGACAACCTACAGGATGAGAGAAAATATTTGCAAATGATGCATTTGACAAAGGTCTAATATTCAGCATCTAAAAGGAACTTAAACAAATTTGCAAGAAAAAGACAACTCCATTAAAAAATGAGCAAAAGACATGAACAGATACTTTTCAAATGAAGACATGCTTGTGTCCAACAATTATATGAAAAGAAGATCAACACCACTGATCATTAGAGAAATGCAAATCACAAACACAGTGAGATACCATCTCACAGCAATCAGAATGGCTACTATTAAAAAATCAAAAAACAGATGCTGATGAGGTTGTGGAAAAAAACTAATGCTTATATACTGTTGGTGAGACTGTAAAGTTCAATCATTGTGAAAGACAGTATGACGATTCCTTGAAGAGCTAAAAGCAGCACAACCATTTGACCCAGAAATCCCATTACTGCATATATACCCAGTGTAATATAAATCATTCTACCATAAAGACACATGCACATGAATATTTATTGCAGCACTATTTGCAATAGCAAAGACATGGAATAAAACTAAATGCCCATCAATGATAGATTGGATAAAGAAAATATGGTACATATACACCATAAAATATGGTACATTCATTAAAAAGAACAAGATTATTTCTTTTGCAGGAATGTGGATGGAGCTGGAGGCTATTATCCTTAGCAAATTAATCAAGAAACAGAAACCCAGATACTGCAAGTTCTTATACTTATAAGTGTAAGCTAATTGTGAGAACTCATGAACACAAAGAAGGGAACAACAGACACCAGGGTCTACTTGAGGGTGGAAGGTGGGAGGAGGGAGAGGAGCAGAAAAGGTAATTAT